TGTATTTCTTGTCTTCAGGAAACAATGAACAGTTTCACTAACTGTTTGTTTTAGTCACCAGGTATAATTGATTTTAATTTATTTCTGTTGTTACCTGCTCTGCCAGTAATCTTTCTGTGATGAACATGATGGAGTTCTGCCTGTTCTAAATAGCTCTGGATAAATAAGATTTGCATTCTTTAGCACAGGCATGATATAGCTTTGGTTATTTGATCCTGTTTATTTGGCTGTGAAGTGTTGCTGGCAACAAATTTCAAAGATACTCCTTTGAAAAGCAAAAATATGATAAAATTTACCTTATGTGTTCTTTTGTCAAACATGTTTTCTTCTGGAGATGCAGTGGAGCTATAGGATTGGATTGGGACATGTCTTGCTGCAAAAGTGAAAAAAGACTTGCTTGAAAAGGCTCTGATCTCTGAAGTGGCATGTGAGTGTACAGTGCAGTGAGAAACTTGTATGAATTCATTAAACAGCGAAAAATAAAAGTCTGTCTGTGTAAGTAGGGCTTCGGGAGGAGGGAGAAGTGTTGTACAAGTAGATATCCTCATAGCTTCTGTGAGAGCTGCAAATGTTGTCCCTGTTTTAGATGTCTGGAAACTGAGGCACAGGCACGTGCTTGGCCAGGGACCATAAAGCAAATAACATCGAAAGCCAGGACCAGGGTGGCAGCTTCCGCATCTCTGTCAAGTGCTCCAGGCACTGAACCAGGCAGTTTCCTACCTCTTGAGGAAAAAGCACTAAATCTTTCCTACATTCATTCATTCAGATGAATTGGACAGATTTTTGTACGCTGAAGATGTTTTTTAACGTTTTTCACCCAGCTCTGTTAGGACTTCTGCTTTTATGGTAGTGATGTCTTTTGCTACAATTTTACAAGGGTGGGATTTTTCTCTCATTGATTCCTTAAATGACCTGCTCTCAATTTGAATTCTGATCTAAAGGATTTCAGTACTTGTCTCCTGTCAATATTAAGGTTTTAATTCTGTCCTTTCATTACTTGTGACAGTAGTAAATGGCAGCAGTTATAAATACCTTATCTTTTTGACAGTAAAGCAGCCAACAGTGGTGCTCTCAGTTCAGTGTTAAATTCAGCTCTCAATAGTCTCTTGTAAACATCAAGCTCCCAAATAGATATAAGTGATTAGCATGGGAAGACAAAGGAGGTGTATTCGCTGCTTCCCACCAATGGAAGCATATTTGACTTTCGTCTTTGGTTCTTGAAAACCAAAGCAGTCTAATAAATCTGGCTAACCAACCTAATTCTAATTCCTTTGTGTCGTCTGTAAAATCACAGCATTTGGAATTTAAGACGAAACCCTGCGCTGCCAAGGAGTTGTTAACAGGAGAGGGAGGAAAAATGTAAACAGTTATTCTGCAGGAGGGAAGAGAGAACGTAGTCACTAGAGTGGGAATTGCCTTTAAATACTGATTTATACTGTAATTGACACAAAGGACTTTCCCTTGCAGCATCCTCCTGTATTTTCGCAGCCTGGATGCACCTTACAGTTCGTGAATGCAAGGACAGATCCTTTCCAGAGCACTGGAAATTCCCCAAGAGGAAATAGCAAGTCTGGCCAGGGGCCATGCACACACAGTCCGTTTCAGGATTATTTAGAGGAGACTCCAAAGACTGTAGCAACATCTTCTGCCATGTCCTGTCTTAGGGGCCTTTCCTTTTTTCCTTCCATACCACATCTCTTCCCCTCTCTTCCACCTCTAAACCCCAATTCCTTTAAAGCACTCACTGCTTTAGTCCCCCTCAGTCTCACTGTCTGCAAAATGGGAATAGTCATCCTTATTTCTGCAGTATACGCAAATAAATTTCAACAAACTTGAGGAACTGATGTTTCTTAGAAAACACTTTGAAACCACTGTTAAAATGCTTGCTTTAGGAACGTATTTAGGCACCTTTTTTTAAGGAGTAAGTTGGTGGCCCTGCTCGGAAAGGCAAATGGTGATGTGCAGGTAGAAACATCTTCCTATTCTTCAGCAAAAGTAATCTTTTAGCTGTGAAATCTGAAATGGATGTGAAATCTGCCACGCTTGTTGGCATTTATCCAGGTGCCAAATGTCACTTTATTGTGAGCTTTTTCTGGAAATGGAGAGAAATCTTCTGATGTGGTTCTGTAGAAGTAGAAAAGAAGATTAAAAGGATAGGGTGGTACCCAAAATGTTTGAGCTCATTTTTTAAACAGACATCTTGGATAGTTCTGTGGTTGATTAAAATGGAGTTTTCTTCTCTCTCTTTTTTTTTTCCTCCTTTATAAATTCATAATTCCTTAACCCCTTCCCCAATTTTGACATTTAGAGAGTAAAAAAAAAAAAAAGGTACATTTGTAAAGTAAATGTAAATTTAAGATGTTGAACTCTGTGTACTTTTCAATGATTAATTAATATACAGGAGGATTTCTTGAAGCTTTCCATTGTGAATTGTTAATATTTCACAAATGCTGCATTATAAAGTTGCATGCTTTTCTTTTGAAGCTGAAAATCATGATTATAATTATTTTCCAGCATTTTATAAAAATGATGACAGAATGGCTCAGGGACTAGGTGGAACCATTAAAAAGTTTTCTTTTTGGGGATTTTGGTTTTGTCACCAGCAGGCTGGGTCTAAAAACAACAGTCAGCGTGTCATCTCTTCAAAGCTGTGTTCTGTTCTTTAAGGCTGTGAATGCACATCACAAACCCCTCTGGTATAATGAAGCTCAAAGTTTGGTATCAGCAAAGCTGTTGTCTTCGCTGAGCCGCGGAGTCTCCCGTAGTCCTATTCCCATCACTAAGTCACGTGCAGTCACGGACATTTGAGCTGAAGAAGTTCTGTTAGATCATCCAATCTGTGGTAATACAGGATTTTTCCTCCAGGTGACATCAGCCAGGAAAATTTTATGCCTTTATGGGAGACCCTGGGGCTGTGAGTTACAACGTCTGTGTTCTCCTGAAAGCCACTCACAGGTCCAACAAACCAGGAGGAAACTCTTCAGAATCGGTTTGAATATGCATTAAAGATGCCTTTTAAATAACGATAAATTCCAAGCTTTAATTCTTCAAAATTGTAGTTCACTACTGTATCACAGACTGGAAAATCGTGCATGTTAGCCATCAGTTCTCACTTTAACGCGTGAATGTGTGCGATAGCGGCACTGCGTAAACATAGGTACCTGCTAGGAGAGGCTGTATATTGAGTAATAATCAAGATCCCACTCTTCTCCCCAAAAAAAGTATGTTCAAGTTAGTTTACTCATTATATCTATTATTATTACACTGGAATTGTGTGTTTTATTATAAAAGTGCATTTATTACTATTTATGCCCTTTTAAACATCTGTTTTATCTTTAGGAGTGTTGTATTATTGTGCTTTTCTGTTCTAAAACACAAAGATCGACTCAGATCATTAGTCATACCGCTATTATGTGGTCAATGTTAATGTTTTGATCTTCTGAAATTAATGAAATATGCATTACTGGCGTATGACAGCTGTTTTTTCTTTGTTTTTGGAGTGATTTGTGTTTAAGTAGGGTGTAAAATTAATAATTTTTCACTGCAGAGCTATTGCCTAAATGTTGTGGTTTGAATTTAATGAACATACTTGTTTGATCACATCTTCCAAAAAAAAAAATTCTAAATGTAAATGAAATTTTCTCCGTCATACTCCTTTTTTTCCTATTTTAATGATCAAAGTGTTTAAATGGACATTTGTGAGACCTTGAGATTTCTTGACAAGAAAGTAGAGCTGATAGCTGTTTGGTGAAAATGAATCCAGAAGAACAGTGAGGCTGGGTGAGCTTAGTGATGATTCTGAATGTATCTGGAATTCTGCCACTGGCTTCAGTGGTGCTAAACCGTCCCTCTGCATATTGAAGGGTTTTGTGTTTAAGTACCACAGTCAGACAAGTTTTACTGACTTCTCCCCCTCGTAGGCAGAGGAGAATGGAACTGGACAATTAAAAATACAATTGCAATGTGGTTTGTATCTAAAGTCAAACCAAAAGGAGCTAATATTGACTGAAGTGCTTTTGTGCTCACGGCGCAGGACTGCGAATCTGAACGCACAGAGTCGCTGTCTGTCCGCCTTAGAGTGTGCACAGGTGATCAGAAGTGTTTGAATTAATGAATTATCACTTGTCTTTTAAACCACAGTAAGTGACCATACTTTTACATCTCAGGCACTGACTGAGGGTCGTGAGGGATTGGGTTTTTTTTGGCATTTTCTGTGTCTTTGCTGCCTTGCTGTATGTGGTTGTACAAGTCTTTGTGGGACTGTGTAGTCAATCAAGTCAAAAACAACCCAGGAAAAAGAGGTTATCCTTACAGCCCAGCTCAGTCTCCCACCTGGTTTGCTGCATGGTGCCCAGCAGTTTTAGAATCTGCATGGGAACAGAGATGAAGATATATTTTTGCCTAGAGATACATGTGTAAAAGTATGGCCTCAGCCCATTGCAATAATGTATGAAAAAATGCATTGGCCTGAACCATATGGGTTCACACAGCGCGTGGGTTTTTTTGAGTGGTTTCAAGCAGAGGTGTTTTTTTTTTAAAAAAAAATAATTTTGCATTTGCGGTGGGCTAAAGGAATAAACGAGTTATTGCCATTTGGCTGATGGATTGTAACTTCTTAGGTGTGATAATTGCTGTTGTGGTCCTGTGTTCATAGCAAAAGAGTCTGTGATCTTTCACAAGTTGTTTAGCATCTCTGTACAGCGTTAAACAAAGCAACAGTGCATGTTAATTAATGCTCGTGCAGTAATGAGCTAAGGGGCTCTGCCTTGCCACCTTAGACTAGAGGTGGCAACAGCACTGTGTCTAAACACACAAGTACAGGATTTAAAATCCAAATTATCATGGCGATTAAACCTCACTGCAAACTCAGTCAGAATTATTCTTGGCAGGGGCGTTTCATCCCTAAGTTATCAGGAATGTATTTGCATTTTACCAGCCATTTGAGGAGACCCTCAAATTATACAGTAATATGGATTGGTTTATGCTTTGCTTTTAAACAGGGCAGAAAAGCTCCAGTTGCTTAACCACAGGCCTGTGACAGCAGTTGAAATACAGCTGGTAAGTAACAACACTCCTGAGTGTGCAGAGTTTAAATGAAAGCAGCTTTAACCTTGAAGATCAGATGAATAATTACTTTCTCATGGTCAGTGATTGAATATATCCCTTTATGCACATCCTTACATTCATGGTTTCAAATCCACTCTGCTTCCTCTCTGAGACCTCCTTGGAGACTTGCCCATCTTTCTCTCAGGCAGATTCTCCACCTCTGTTTGCTTGTGTCACATATGGAAAATGCCCAGTGCAGTCATTAGAGGTTAATTACAGTATTGTGAGTACGAACATGTTTAACCTGAGTCTTTTTGCTGCTGCTCTGTAATCCAGTACTTCGCTTTTTGACAGCTGTGATGGTTGTTTTGATGGCAGGGCTTTACGTTACAGGAAAACCAAACATGCTGAAAAGGAATGAGTAATGACTGACAGGGAATTCTGAGCAGTGGTGCAGAATGAGGAATAGATATAAACAGACTTTCTGATGGAAAGTAGCCATTATCATTGTTTTTTAAACAGAATTCTGGTGTAAAGAGGGATTGTCGCTAAATAGCAATAAATTGTTATATTCTCTGAAGTATCTCCTTAGGAGTACAAAATCCTGTGGTAATAGAGAGATTATTATAATATGGATATTCTTTTAATAAAGAACATCTGTTTACGATCTTATCCTGAAACTGAACTATGTAGTAACAGGATCATATTTTGCTGCAAAAAAGGAGAGGATTAAAGAGGTACCAGTAGGACTTTGTTTATTTTGTAGCCAGGGAGTAGACGATATAATGCAGAAGGTGTCTCATAAAAGAGTGCCTCTAGCTGAGAAATTAATACTGTGTTTTGTAATTGGAGGGATCAGTGTCAGTCACCAACCCAACCAAGAGCATTAAGGCTTCATGAGTTTTGCTTAGGAAGTCAGTCAGAAGCGATGATGGAGAGCCTGTCTCATACTTTCGTTAGCTTCATGTGCTTAGACAGAGATTTATTTTATTCCCGTATAGGCCATATATGGCCTTTTTTTCTCTTTTGTTCTTTAAATGCAATAATCTACTGCTGCTTTCAGGTGACTGTCGTTTTGTCTGTCTTTTCCCTCCTCCCCTCATTATCCTACCTAGTTCCTCATTATCTTCCCTATCCGTAAAATATTAAAAATAGTTTTGCTCCTGTGTCATGTTTGAAGTCCAGGATGCAAGTGTAAGAAATTTGGGGCATTATATTAGAAGTCAGGTTTCTGTAGAGTGTCATGCTTTAGATATTCCAAGGTTTATAGTGTCAAAGTTAGATAAAACTCATTGCTAAAACTTCTAGAATACAGATATGAGATTTGGGTTCAGTGTCAGCCCGTTATTGGTATGTAACCCTCTCTAAGGATCAAAAGCAACTTCTGAAAAATGTAATATTCATACATTTGGGGACTAACCTGAGTTTGCATCATCATGGAAGTATTTGGCATGCAGTTACTTCTGTTCCATTGCGATACCCCTGTTATTCCCAGGGCAAGGTTCTCTAAAACTAGTATTACAGTAAAATAGGTTGACTCGGGTTGTTAACACTGTGTTGAATTAAGCCTCCCCAAAACTGCATTACACTTACTCTTTCATCAAAGTATATTGAAGTCTTTTGAGCTCCATAACTGCTGGGAAAGTGCAGGCCATTTTTCTTAGTGAAATACAGAGAGTAGGAGTGATAGCAAGGAAACGATTTTGCTGTTTGATTGCTGTCTTGAATCATTTTGGTTTCTGGTGAGGACAGGGGAAAGAGATTGTAGCAGTGCGAAGTTTTTGAACACAGAAAACTTCTGTCTTCTCTGAGCATCTTGGAGTATAAAAGAATGCAGAGCCGTGGAGGCTACCGGCGTTTTCTTCTTTGATGTCAGTAGGGAGAAGGTTACCCAAACGTGGGTTTTGTGCAGGCAGGTCGATTCACTGCGGTCGATGGATGAGAGACAACCTGCAGAGAAGTGAATACTAGGTCTGAAATCGCCTTGATTTTCATTGAACTTGCCCCTGCCACGCACAAGCTTTGAGTCATTCCTGGAATTGAAATGAGAAAGAAATGCTGATGAAAAATTCTGACTACTCCATATAATATAGGCAAATCAATCTCATTTTTAAAAAGCGAGCTTTGGACAAAGTGCCAAACAAGCCATATCTCTGTCTCTCACTTACTCAAATAGTTTTGATGTCTCAAACTTTTACTCAGTGCTGCCCGTCCGTGAAGTGGAGTCAAATTTGCTGATAGCTGTTTAATAGCTGATGTGAGAGGATACTTAATATTTACTCCTGCTTGTTGCTTTTTTGCCTTTTCAGTTTTTGGTTTTTGCTTTCCCTCTATAAAATTCCATGCCTTTAGTTGTATGCAAGCAATAAATCAATTTTGATAAAATTACATTTAAGCTAAAAAGCAAATTTATGTTGTGATCTTTTGATCTCAAGTTCTTTTGTCTTTATGCATAAATCGCTGCGTTGTTCATGTTTGTCTTTCCCGGACTGTGGGCCAGGATTTATTTTCAAACAACAATAGCAACGAAAGGAGCATGAAATTCTAATTCATATCCCACAGGGTAAAACACTGTACACATTGCAGTTATCTTGACCTCCTGTTTTAATCTTTAACATATGTTGTTCCTGGCTCAGTGATGCACAAAGGAGGCAAAAAAAGACAGTCATGTTGATCTAACCATGGCAGTGCTGCAGCTTTGCTTAGTGC